TCTTTTTAAGATTTATTTATTGATGCATACAAGAACTGGAGTACAGGCCAGAGGTGTGGGGAAAAGATTCACCAGAGACAGAGTGGGGAGCAGAACAATCAGGTCTACTGAAATATACTGCTGAGGGGAGCATTGGGCAAGACACGGGAGGTCTGCTGCTTCACGTGGGTCACCTCCCTGGCCAGGAATCAAACTCGTGCTGTAGTGGCTGCAGATAGCTTCATAGTGCTGTGCTATTTGACCTACTGAGCCACCAGGGAGGGCCCACAATTACTAGAAACTTAATGAAAGAAAATATTTCTAACATGTAGGTAGCTAAAAGCTGAAGATAATAAAGCTCATAGGATACCAAGAAAACTGAAAAACATTAACATTTATATCTCCCCACTGCCCAAGACTGAAGCTTCATGAGAGAAAGGCTTCCTTACTTCTTTGCCATAGAATTTTCAATGCCTGAAGCAATGTCAAACACATTCAGTCAATAAATGCTTGCCATGTGTACAAATAAATGATTAAGTCTTAAATTTTACATTAAGTTCCTGTGATACCGATGCTCAAAAGTTAAACTACCTACAGGGGATTTTTTCAAAATTACACCTTCTTCAAATTCCTCTTTCAAAATTTTAAATTCCCAAAGCCAGCCATAAAAGCCTCCAGAATTCCAAGAATATCTTCAATCAAATATTCATTCACTTGTGAAGAAAACAAAAGACATTCTCATGTCTCATCAGTACGGAGAAGATAAAAATCATTGTGCAAAGAGCTACATTTAAGAAATAGAAAAGAATGTAGAATCTTTGATATGAAAGTGCTGGCATTAAGTTCTAAACTAATAAAACATATACGGGCCCTCCCTGGTGGCGCAGCAGGTTAAAGCACAGCATTGAGAAGCTAAAGCTGCTTCCGCATGAGTTCAATTTCCGCCTGCCCCGGAAGTGACCACATGGCGCAGCAGACCTCTCCTGACCCGCCCGCTGCTCCCCTCAGCAGTGTACTTCGTAGATCTGCCTGTTCTGTTCCCCACTCTGTCTCTGGTGAGGCCTCTCACTGCCCCTGCGCCTCTGGCCTGTACCCCAGTTCTGTATGCACAAATAAATAAATCTTTAAAAAATATATATATATATACCTGCTTAAATAGTTGTTAAAAAATCACTAGTAAATCTATATAACATGAATTTCTTAAAATTGCGATACATGTTACAAGTAATTAAAAATAAGAAGCTGGCAATAACATACCATATTATACCAATAGCATAAGGTCAGAGAGTGGAGAGGAATGAAAGGGAAAAAAGAATACTAATCTTTATGCAGGGAGACACAATATTTCTTCTATCTTAACACTGGTAATTAGAGAAATAAACACTTGAATAAAATCTTTTGTTGTTTTTTGTATGTTATTATAGAATGAAAGTAAAATGTAGATTGTCTGGTTTAGAGAAAGGGAAAATCTGGGTTATAAAAAGACAGAAAGAATAGGTTAGCAAAAATCTCAAAAAGAGAAAAAATACATAATGACAGAAGACAGGAAAATCATATCACAACAATGCTAATGTAAATTGCTTAACTTATGTAATCAAAAAAAATTTCCCCAGAGAAGTTCTCCATATCTGCTGTCTCCTAGAGCACATCTAAGCAATGTCATCTAGACAACTTTTTTTAAGAACTAAAGCAGACAAAAGGCATAACGTATAGACAGAAGCACAAAGAAATCAAGAAAATGAAGAATACTATCAAAGTATAATTCAAGCAAAATATAATAAACACTTAAACCAATTGTTACTAATGAATGTTAGAGTCTACAATAGTCACGAAGATAAATATATCAAAGTGTGAAACAAACCTATTAAATTTCTTAGAGGAACTGAGACAAAGCAGCAATACAATTAAGCAAACAACAAAAAAAGGAAGTGATGAATAATATAGATCTTTACCTACCTAGCACATACTCTCTACCTTATGATAACAAATAATAAGCTTTTGCCAAATAATAAGCTCTCACAAAATGTCAATAAATCTCCCAAAAGAATGCTAAAATGCAAAAGACTAGAAATTAACAATGAAGTGTAAATCCTATAAAAAAAAAAACCTACCACTTATGTAACATATAATTAATCCTTCAATCAATGGGGAAAATCAAAATAGCAATTATATAGGGCTTTGAAAGTAAGGATAAAGAGAACATATATTAACACACTCACAAATAATTCAACAATCAAAGGGAAAATCAGAATAGCAATTATATCATGCCTTGAAAATAAAGACAAAGAGACCATGTATCAATGCACAGGAATAGTGCCAAAGCTTACATCCGGAAGGGAGAGAGAAGCAATAAAGACTTTTACTATCAAACAAGAAAGAATGGAAAGATGTTGAATTGTGCATTCAAGAATTTAATAATAGAACAATATAATTAAGAGAATCTGGGAGGTGGGTATCATAAAAATAAGGGGAAAAATTAATGAGACAAAGAAAAAAACCTTAAAACACAAGAGTTTATTCCTTGGAGAAAAGAACAGTAATAAAACAGAAATAACCCAAGCAAGGTTATTTCTCGTTTCAATTTTTATAAAGAAAGAGAAAAACAAAATTAATCAAAATAACCTGGGATTATATAACCTATGACCGAGGAGGAACTACAAATAAATATTCCATGTAATATTTCAATGTATTTTTAATCCCAACCAAAGAGACATTTTTAGGAAAATATAAATTATAAAAACTGATAGAAGGAAACACAGCAAACATATACTGGCTTAACCAAAAAAAAAAAAAAAAACCTATAGAAGACATTGAGGACAATATCAAAGAATTATCTTCTAGAAGGGGTGCAAATTAAATGACCTCATGAGCAAATGTGTCAAAACTTTAAAGGAAGTAGATAATTTCAAAGTGATATAAGCTTTCCCATAACAAAAAATATTGAAAACTTCCCAATCGGTTTTTTTTTTCTTCATATATTTATTTATGTGGTAAAGAACCAGGATATAGGTCAGAGGTGCAGGGGAGGGTGAGATGATTTACAAGAGACAGTGTGGGGAGCAGTGTGGGGGCCTATCTATTGAAATACCCAGATAAGAGGGGTAAGGTAAGGGAGGTGGGGGTGGGGGGGCCTATGTGGGTCAGCTCTCTGGCCGGGGATCAAATTCAGGCCATCAAGGTGATAGTGCTGACACTTAAGCCCTAGGCCAGCAGAGAGGTCCTCCCAATTGTTTTCAAAGAAATAACACAATTGTGATAATGAATCAGATACTAAAATATGCAGGATCTAGAGGAACAGAATGACAAAGCTTTACAAGAGCAGAAAGCAGAGACAAAACTAAATGGATGGTGAGTAGATAGAAACACATTCTGATCCCATCTGGAATGACTACAGAAATCACAATTCTCACTAGAGTTCAGAGAAAGGAAAGAAGTTGGGGAACAACTTCCCTCCCCCCAGCCATGAACAGTAGGGGGAGGGATGTGCATTGGACTATGGTGATGACACACGGGTGATTTGGTGATGAGAAGCCCGTCGGGATTACAACTGAGATGGAAAAAGGCACAAAATGATGTAAAAATAAACTATCATATTATTAAAAAAAAAAAAAATCAGCCGTGGTCACACTCAACACTTCGAGGCTGAATTCAAAAGTGAAGTCAGGTCTGTCTGATCCCCAAAGACCATGGGATTCCCAATAGAGATAAAGGAATCAGGTATTAGGAGAAAACTGCCATACTGAATGAACAGTGGCAGGTGAGTCTGAAAACCTAGGACAAAAAAGAAGACATATTCCTAATAAATCCCTAACAGTTTATTATTATTAATTTTGTACCAACTTTCTCTAATTAGTTTTCATTCTATTTTTTTTTAAGATTTATTTATTTATGCATACAGAACTGGGGTACAAGCCAGAGGTGTAGGGACAGTGAGCAGATTCACCAGAGACCGAGTGGGGAGCAGAATAGATGAAGTACACTGCTGAGGGGAGCAGTGGGCGGATTAGGAGAGGTCTGCCATGCCATGTGGGTCACCTCCCTGGCCAGGGAGTGAACTGGTATTGAAGTGGCTGCAGCTAGCTTCACAGTGCTGTGCTTTAACCCACTGCGCCACCAGGGAGGCCCAGCATTTTTATTTTAAATGTTTCCTCTATATGTTACTTAGAAAGAAATCACTTTGTCCTATTTATAAACAAATATCAGGGACCTGATTTGTGTATTTTGTAGTTGGCTCTATATTGTTAGGACTGGAATTCTTTTTTGCTTATTTCTACCAAATCCATGTCACTTTCCAACTTCTAGAAGCAGCTGAGGTATATTTTCAAACAGCTGGTTGGGAACACTTCAGTTCCCTCTAAGTGATAAATGACACCATTGCTTCTCAAGGTAAACTGCTTCTAAGGTTTGCTTCTAAGGTATTTGATTAGTCCTGAAAACCAGAGTTTTGGGGGGAAAAAACTTAATGCAGTCGTCACAAGTTTATTTTAAAAATCCATGTGCAATGAGATACATTACTACTTCTTGATGTCCTTTCTTGTCCATTCTCCTTTTCAACCAATATCTTCTCTCCTGCAACCTGGGGCCAACTTCCTATCCACTCGCTCACATTCCACTTGATTCCCACCCCCGTCAGTCATAGGGTCAGTTCCCAGCCTAGATATAAAGCATTAGGTAGTCTCCCACCAGAGATAAACCATAAGACTACCCTCTACTGTCTGGGATAACTGAGGGCTGACTTCACCACCACATAATCTTGTCCTCTGGCTGCAGCGGATGGTAATAGAAGGTTTTTAAAGGACCCAGCTGAGAAATGGTGCCTCTGTGCCCATTCACTCTGCCGCCAACAGAGCAAGAATCCCTCCCACACCTGCTTGGCGCCTGCCTGTGGAGCAATGACATCTCCCTGGTGACAAATCTCAGAACACAACTATGAGCTGTCCTGGTCAGCTGATCTGAAGCATTTTCTCCCATCCTGCACTTGGCATTTCCTAGGTGAGAAGTGAGACTTCACCTCCACCTACCAGCTGTCCAGAACCCAATGGTGGCTGGCGTGGAGCGTCTTGGAGGGGCGGTGGAAATGTTCACAGTGTAGTTGGTGCCTGGATAGAGGTCCAGGCACACTTCTGGGGTCCCACTGTCTGTGGTGAAGGTGACAGTCTCCGTGTGATCTGATTCCACAGAGTCCAACCTTTGTCCTTTTATGTTAATCTGTGTGAGGGGAAAAGACA